GTGGAGCTGGGCTGAGAGTTCTAGCCTTCCTCTGGCAACCAGTTCCGACCCTATCAGTCAGGACATTCCAAGGTTTTTACGAGCTCTATGCCAGGAACTGGGGACAAAGCAAATATGTAATTTCTTAAAAATATATACTAGTATTTTTTTTATTGATTTCAGAGAGGATGGCAGAGGGCGAGAGAGAAACATCAATGATAAGAGAAAATCATTGTTTGGCTGCCTCCTGCATGCCCCATACTGGGGATCAAGCACGTGCCCTGACCAGGAGTTGAACTGTGACCTCCAGGTTCATAGGTTGATGCTCAACTACTGAGCCACACTGACCAGGCTGAAAAGGGAAAGTCTTTGTAAGATCTTCCAAGTTAGTCCAGAGTCAGCTGAGCATCTTACAGCAGCCCCCATCTGCAGGGCTGCAGTATCACTCCAGGCATACTCAGCAGTCAGGAGCCCGATGGTTCTGCCCCAGGGTGGGCAGAGGACAACTGCTCAAGATAAATGAGGATGTGGGCAAAGTGATGTCTGTCAAGTCCATTTGGGTAGAAGAAGCTATGAATTCTGGTGGAACCTAGCAATTAGGAGGTAGAGGGATCAAGAGCCTAACTGCTCAGGGAGGTAGAGGAAGTTAGTGCAGAAGTAATTGGAAGGCCAAGAAGCTGTGGTCAGCAAGTAGCATAGCTAAACCATTATTTCAGGACTGGAACAGTTCCAGCTGATTAGGTCCAGGAGCTGACCATTTGAATAGATGGCAGAGGTGGAGCAGGATGTGAATCTCCATGGAGATGAAATCGGAAGTTAAGGAACTGAGAGGCTACAGTGATGCGTGAATTATCCATGCCACTGTTGAAGTCATCCAGAATTGGGGCCAGTACTGGGGAATAGAGAAGGACCGTGAACCCTGACTGCCAAGACTTTGGGAATGAGGGGGTCTTACCAGGGGGTCTGTGGAGGCCAGCAATAAGATGGTCAAAGAGGGTTACTGGCAAGTGTTTTTATAAATGGAAAACGGAGAAGAAACATCCTAAAAATGGAATTATTTGGAAGGAAAGAGTAGGCTTTTCTTCTTAATTTTGGTCTCTCCAATGCTTAGCAGAAAGCCTACCACAGAGTAGGGTTGAATATGTTTTCATGGAATGGATGCACGACTGAAGATAAATTTAGGTTTTTATTTCGCCAGCTTAAAGTCTGAAGTTGTTATCGTTTTTCAGCAATATCGCTGCCAAGTTTAAGTGGTTATAAAGGGCTCTCCAGGCCTAGGATTTCCATAGGGACCTGTTAATGTCCCAGAGCTGGAAAGAGGCAGCTTGGGGTGGGGCGGAGTCAGCAGGCTGGATAGAGAAAGCTTTCTGCCTCTTTTTCTTTTTCTGTTCCTGTCCCAGAGATACTGCTTTCCACTGATAAAAGGGTAATTATGAATTGGTTATTGTGAAGTGCTATTGTATACTAGAAGCCTAGTGCACAAAATTCATGCACTCGGGTTGCAGGGGAAACCCTCAGCCCGCCTGCGCCCTCTCACAGTCCAGGAGCCCTTGGGGGATGTCCGACTGACAGCTTAGGCCTGTTACCACCATGAATGCACTGACTACTAGGGGGCGGCTCCTGCATTGAGCGTCTGCCCCCTGGTGGTCAGTACACATCCCAGCAACTGGTCGTTCCACCATCGGGTCGGAACCGGCTCTCTGACATCCCCCAAGGGGTCCTGGATTGCGAGAGGGTGCAGGCCAGGCCAAGGGACCCCACTGGTGCATGATAGGGCCTGGGGAGGGACACGGGAGAGCTCCAGGGTGTGTCCGTCTCGCTCCATCTCGCTCAGTCCTGATCTGCCAGACCCCAGCAGCAAGCTAACCTATTGGTCAACTGTCTACCACCTGGTGGTCAGTGCACGTCATAGCAAGCAGTTGAGCAGCCTTAGCATATCATTTGCATACTACGATTTGATTGGTTAAACGGCCAACTGGACACTTAGCATAATAGGCTTTTATTATATAGGTAATATATTCCCAAGAGATCCTTCGGTTTCTCCCGACGTTAAACATGTACCCAGCATACAGCCCAGCCACTCCACCCGGGGAGAAATGAATATGGCCCGAGCCAGTTTGGCTCAGTGGATAGAGTGTCAGCCTGCGGACTGAAGGGGCCCAGGTTCGATTCTGGTCAAGGGCATGTACCTTGGTTGTGGGCACATCCCCAGTAGGGGGTGTGCAGAAGGCAGCTGATCTATGTTTCTCTCTCATCAATGTTTCTAACTATCCCTCTCCCTTCCTCTCTGTAAAAAAATCAATAAAATGTATTTTTTTAAAAGTTCAAACTTTGGTTTAGATAAGGCAATCTAATATTACTACTGCTAGTACTAAATACCTTTCAATAGGAGGACATAATTCAAGTTTCATAAAGATAATTCTGGATATCAGTGCCACTAGTTGGAAAATAAGGTTATCGATATTTTAGTGATTCAATATCAGTAGCAAAGAATGGTGCCAGGAATGATTCTAAACAATATAAAATAGTCTAGGTAAACATTAGGCCAAAGATCCTTTTAAAAAATGAACTCTATGCTACAAATGGACTTGTGATAGCGTCTTTTCCCTGTCTCTCCAAATGAAAATACCTCAACAGGCCCTGACTGATGTGGCTCAGTTAGTTGGAGCATCATCCTGTGCCCTGGTCAGGGCACATACCCAGGTTGCAGGTTCCATCCCTGGTCAGGGCATGTATGGGAAGCAACCAATAATCAATATTTCTCTCTCACATCAATGCCTGTCACTTCCTCTCTCTTTCACTCCCTCCCTATCTCTCTAAAATCAATAAAAACATATCCTTGGGTGAGGATTTGAAAAAAAAGACAGAAAATACCCCAGACACTCTTTTTAAAATTTAATTGTTTATTTTTTTAAACATTTTTATTGATTTCAGAGAGGAAAGAAGAAGGAGAGAGAGAAACATCAATGATGAGAGAGAATCATTGATCTGCTGACTCCTGTACACCCCACACTGGGGATGGAGTCCACAACCCAGGCATGTGCCCTGACTGGAAATCGAACCCTGATGTCCTGATTCATAGGTTGATGCTCAACCACTAAGCAACACCTGCCAGGCTATTTTTTATTTTTTAATTTATCTTTATTGCTGAAAGTATTACAGACAGATATCTGCTTTGTTGGGTTTTTTTATCCTCACTGACCCCCTTCTCCCCAAACCCATCCCTCCCCTTTTTTTAAAGCAAAGAGTAACTATCAAGAGTAAATATCCAAAACTGATAAAATACTCACAGCAAAGAGCCTTCTGCAGTCTTCGGAGTTTCATGGCAGTCCTATAAGCTGAGAACCTGACATTATTCAGGTCAGCTGGAGAAAACAAAGGGGAAACACATATCATTTGTTATTTCATCAGAAAGCACAGGCAAAAAGTCACAATAATTTGCCAACTGCAATAATAATGACAAAAATAGGCTAGGGAAAAAATATTGCATATGCTCCAAGTTTTGGGAAGTAAAATTATGTCAATATGGGGAAATTAATAAAAACATCTTTTTTTCTCTTTGATAATCCAGACACCTAAGTTCTATTAAGGACTACAGTGGACTATTCTGCAGGGTTTTCAGGCATTTTTTTTTCACACTGTAATCCTGGTCTGATTGTAGTGACTCTTTGCTACACAGGATTAAAGAGAACAAGGAATGTATTATTGAAACACCATTAGAACTTAGCAAAAATCAAGTGGCAACATAACATTTTTTTTTCTGATTAGAAAATAAAAGTTAAATATGTTCACCATGGAAAAATTAGAAGTTAAAGGGAAATATAAAATCAAGTAAATAAGTCACCCATGGTCCCATTACCCAAATATATGCACTGTTAACATTTTGAGTATTTCTTATCCAACATATATGTGGGTGTATGATGTACTTGAAAATATAATTGGGACTAAAATAAAGATCTAGTTCATATTCTAAAGTGTAATCATACTAGTATTCAGCACAGATGAACAGTTCAACAATTTCTGCTATTGCGGTTTCTACAGTCACCTATCAAGTTCCAACTCACCTAGCTGAAAGCTATATTTAGATGATACCCTTACTCAAGTCTACGCAAGCCTTGATACACCCTGGGCAATATTTCTTTTCTAGAGTTTCTGTATATTTACGTTTCAGGAACCCAGCTCCAAAAAGCTCCTTGAAAACAAGAACCCTGTCTCCTACTTCTGTCATATTTCCCAGTAACTTAATATCTGACCGCTCTCTGAAAAAGCAGGTCTAATACAGCTAGGGGACTGATTAACAGACTGAATGAATAAATGAACAAAAGAAGAAAGAAAAAAATGTACTAGCAAGTATGACTGCCATAATTAATTGCACCCACAAAACTGTTTATTTTTTTTAATGTTTTGATTTTTAGAGAAGGGAAAGGAAGAGAGATAGAAACATGGATGAGAGAGAAACATCAATATCAATTGGCTGCCTCCTGCACACCCCCTGCTGGGGATCGAGCCCACAACCCTGGCATGTGCCCTGACCAGAAATGGAACCAGCGACTTCTTGGTGCATGAGTCGACGCTCAACCACTGAGCCACACCAGCTGGGCACAAAACCAATTCTAATTGGGGGTTAAAAAAGGGAAATAATTTAATCCATATCCAAATCGCTTGGGTCAACATTATTAGCTTTATGGCCTTTGCAGAGACCAAATATAAAAACCTAAATTGAAATTAGGGGGGAGAAAAACAATGTCTGTAATTTACTCTAAAATATTCAGCGTAAAAATAAAAGTAAAAAAGACTGACAATACTAAATGTTGGCAAGGATGTGAAGCAACTGGAATTCTCATACAGTTCTGGTGTGAATGAAAAACAATATGACTAGTTTAGCTATTTCTTATGAAATTAAACATATATCTATCTTATAACACAGCTAGTTTACTCCTAGATGTTTACTGAAAATAAATACATGTCCACAAAAAGATGTGTACAGGAAT